ACACCTGATTCCCTATTATTATCTTTAGGAGAAAAAAAATCACATCTGTTACTAAAGGTCTCCAGTTTTATTTTCCAACTATTCAATTTTGATGACCCTACAGGTTTCATGTCTTCTTCAGGATACCACATGCTTGCAAAAAGGGCTGCTAATTCCAGCAACTTAGCCCTTGTTACACAAATCAGCATCCAAAGCAATCTAGGAAGTTAAAAGTTCAAAGGTGGGGCCTGCTTTGTGACACAACAGGTTAGGACTCTAGATGCAACACCAATAAATATCACATATGAATGCAGGTAGGAGCCCTGGCTGCTCTGCTTCTGATCCAGTTCCCTACTAACACACTGAGAAAGCTGTGGAAAATGTCCCAACTATTTGTGCCCCTGACAGCCATGGATAGAGTTACAGGCTCCTGCCTCTGGCTGACCCAGATATAGCCATTGAGGTCATGTGGGGAGTGAATCAGCAGACTGAAGACCTGTCTCTCCTCCCTCTCTGTAACTATGACTTTCAAAAAAATAGATCGATCTTTAAAAAGATAAATAAATAAAAGTTCAAAAGCATAATGAATTTCTGTTGTCTTTCTTCCAAAGTCAGCAAGAAGGAGAAAGTAAAGGAAGAAAAGAAGGAGTAGGCATTTAGTTTTGCCATTAAAATGCCTGAATCCATGTCAAAGTGCCTGGGTTTGCATCCCAGCTCTACTCCTGATTGTAGTTTCAGGCTAACGTGCATCCTGGAAGCCAGCAGTTGATGACTCAAGAACTCGGCTGAGTTTCCGGGTGCTAGCTTCGGCATGGACCAGACCTGTCTGTCTCTCCCTGTCCACACTCCAAATACAAAATATTACACAAATAGGGAAGGAAATCCTGCCACCCAATGCTAACCTCTTTTCAACCTGTTGGTGTAGGGGCACACATATTAAGTTCCTTGTAAACCTAAGTGGCTTAGTCTTTTGGATCAAGGCAGCAGGGATTTCATGTTTCTTTTCACAACCAGCATCAATTATTTCTTTCTTCTACACTGGCATCATTTTGATCTCCTTTATTACTCTTAGCCCCTTGACTTCATTCCTTAGGGGCACAAATCATCATAAGAACTTCTCTCAATCAATTACACATTTCATCTATATACTATTTGATAAGCAAAATTTAGTTCATGCTCCTTTTTTCTTGTAGTTATTTATATTAATATTTATAAGCTGAGAGACCAAAGATGTCTAACTTTTCCCACTTTCCAAAAAAATTATGCATTTATTAAAGCAGATAGGGAAGGACAGAGTGAGAAAGTGAATATGAGAGTGAGATCTTCCGAGGCCAGTTCACGTTCCAAACGCCTGCACCAGCCAGGTCTGGACCAGGAGTGAGCAAGGAGCCAGGAACTCCATCCTGGTCTCCCATATGGGTAGCAGGGGCTCAAATATGTGGGACATCTTCTGATGCCTTCCCAGGCATATTAGCAGGGAGTAGGATTCAAAGCAGAGTAGCCAGGACTCAAATCAGTATTCAGTATGGGATGGTAGCATCACAAGCAGTGTCTCAACCCGCCTGCCAGAACACTGGCCCCAACTTTTCATACCTTGCAATAACAAAATGGACAGAATTTACTTTTAATACAGGTGGTAGTTGACCTCAATTTTGAGATAAGCCTATGCAGTGAACCTCCCTGTAGTCTCTGTGTGTATGCGCATGTATGTATCTATGTATGTGAATGGAATTAAATTATATGTTACAAATTATATTGAATATAAAGGCTGCATTTTTTCAGAGATCATTTTTACAAGATTAACTTTTTGTTGTTGAATAGTTGAACACATAGTAAATGTATATCAATATATCAGGAAGAAATGTTTCTTTGAGGCATTCATTAAATTTTATTCACTGTATAATGAACCATTTTTGCTTATTTCTCTCAGCAAAATGTAAGTTGCATGAGGGTAAAGAGCATATTTATCTTTTGCCAACCCCAGGGCATTCACAGAAAGTGCTAAACAGATATTTTATAATATTATAACCAACTCAGCATAACATTAAAGTAAGAATAGCAATATCAATGCCAAGAATAATACACATATATTAAGTAGGTAACATATACCAGGGTTTACTTTATATGTATATTTTATAAATTAATTAAGCAAATATTTAAGATTTAGTCAAAATGCAATTTCATTTCTTTCCTCCCTTTGCCTCTTTAAATTGTATTCCATGGAGATAATCCTGATCACGAAAATCACAACATGACATCTATCCTCTCCTAAGAAATCTCTTCTTAGATCATCCTTGCCCTTCTGATCCCAATGGGTCTGTAAAACTCTCTTTTACTTTTTCTTTGTATATTACAGATATCTTGAGTATCTCACACTCATTGCTGTATCAGATAACAGTAGGCACCACAACCAAAATCAAGGCAGGAAGAATACTAATCTAGCATCCTATTACACATACACCATCTCATCCAAATCACCCAACAACTTGATTATCCAGACTTATCCCTATCATGCCAATCAGCTAACAAAGACTTACGGAGGTTACGTAACCTATGCAGTGCCACAGGATACTGGAGATGATTATGGCTAGCTCTCAAGAAAACTCTGAATAGGCCATGGAGAGATTTGGTAATAAAGATATTAATGGCTACTGCAAATGGTGGTATTTCTAATTAAGTCTGAAACAGGAAAAATGATGTATTCTTTATATTTAATATTTAGTTTTTAAATGCTATGTTAAAATTTATTGTAATATTAGGGGCCAGCATTGTGGCACAGCTGGTGAAGCTGCCACCTGTGACACCACCATCCCATATGGGTACTGGTTCATGTTCTGGCTGCTCCACTTCCCATTCAGCTCCCCGCTAATGGTCTGAGAAAAGCAGCAGAAGATGGCCCGAGTGCTTGGGCCCCTGACGCCATATGGGAAATATGGAGGAGGCTCCAGGCTCCTGGCTTCAGCGTGGCCCAGCACTAGCTGTTGTGGCCATCTGGGGAGTGAGTGAGCAGACAGAAGATCGATCTCTCTTTCTCTCTTTTTTTTTTCTCTCTCTCTCCCTCCCTCCTCCAAATTAATAAATAAATCTTTAATTAAATTGGTTATAATATTGGAGTATCACAACTACTCTGCACTTTTATTGAAGTATATTCAAGAAATTTATTTAAGAATAAGATTAATTGTAACACAAGAGAATGTGAGATGTTTGTACCAGATAAATGTACATGTGATGTCCCTGTGTTCCCAGATGAAGTTTTAACACCAACTTCAGAATTGGGTATATCTTGAGCAGTCACCAAATTCTCCAGAATAAGTTCCCAAAGAGAGAACACGGCATTCAGATGCAATAAACTCATCATATCCTATCAGTTCCATTCCTCCAGATATAAAAGGTTTTCTTTTATCATCTCTTGCTATTGTAAATTTAGGGATTCAATTCTGTTTGATTCCATGGCCACTATGATTTATCTCACATTTTCAGTAAGAACTGGTGTAGAGCCCTTTCTTTAAGGATTGGGAAAATATAAGTACACATTCCCATCAAGAATTATCTGTATACCAAATTAGTGCATCTACTTACATTTTTATGTAATACCTACTTTATTACTCCAGGGGAAAAATGTGTCCATAAACAGTACTGAACATTAAGACAGTCAAGGTAGTCTACTCATCATCTGAGTTTTAAAAGGCTCATAGACAATATGCAACTTACAAAGTCATGAGAAAGTGAGCTGATAGTGCCAAACTGATAGCACACGTGTGTGCACACGCACATTTCTAAGACACCTATTTTAGGCTGTGTTGTGCTAATCGGTAACAGAATGAGCTTTCTTAATTGTTCCCATATACAGTAGGAGATTAGGAGATATACTTTTATACAGATTGTGCATTCATGCACTTTGCAGACAGGAAATAGAAAACAAAGCTTTAATAAAATTTAGAATACAATTTGGCAACTTAAAGCAAGCCAAAAAAAAAAAAAAAAAAACTAAACATAGTGCCTCCAAATAGGAAGGTACTTCAAAAAGTTCATGGCAAATGGAATTAAAAAATAAGTCTATTTTGATATAAGAAATTTGGAAATAGATGCATAGTTTTTTTCATAACATACACTTTTCCATGTCTTCTTAAAAACCTCTTGTACAAATTCATTAGGAAGCACCCCGACACCATAACACCACCACAAAGATGGCAACCATCACCATCAAATTTGGGACTATAGCCAGTGTAAACCCAAGTGAACTGCAGCAACATGAAGTGTCTCTTCTCAGCAAGCACATAATTTGAATATTAATTGAAGTATTTTCTAGAGCAGCCTCTCCATTGGAATTTTATATAATGATTGCTCTTGAGCATTAGAGATGCGGCTCCCATAAGCTGATGAACCAAGTTTTAAAATATTTAAATAATGAACTAAGTTTTAAAATTTATTTAATAATTTAAATGGCTACATATTGCCATAGTGTTGCATGGTGCAGATTTAGACAGAGGAAAAAAAAAATCAGTTCATCAAGCAATGTTCCAAAATCTTTCGGAATGTGAATTTCATAGCCCGTTACTACCCCAAACACAATAAACAGCACCTCGCATGATGTATTACCTGTTTAGTAATCTCATCACAAATTGTGAAGATTAATCTGAAATTTGAAAAGATGATACTTCTGTGTTTAGACTATCACTCCACTAAAGTTTTGGAAAATATACGTGTTTCCTTCTGGAAGAGACAGCTTTTGTTCTCTAGAAGTTATTTTTTCACAAGTACATCCATTCCAAAGTAGTAACTTAAAAACCTAAGATTGCAACGCTGAATTTCCCGGAATGCCAGCAACCAGAACCAATGAGAACTGCTCTAACTCAGGAGCTTGTAACAGGTTTATAAATCCCCCATCTAGGTAAATAAGCAAATACTGAAACCTTCCTCTGAGTCCATGGACCACCTGCGTCGCGGCACCGCAAGCCGCACCACCAACTCCGCGCGCGCACGCACCTCCCGCCCCGGCGCACGTGGGCGCCGCCCCTCACCTTTCTCGCTGACGCTCTCGCTCTCCAGCTCCACGTCCTCGCAGCTGGTGTACTCGGGGGTCGACACGCCCTCCTCCTCCGAGCTGCTCACGGACATCTGCCGCTTCTTGCCACCCCGCTTAGATCGGTGTGGCTTGGGCGGAGATGGCCGCACGGACTCCGACTGGTCGGAGCTCAAGGAGTCGTTCCTCAGCATGGTCTCCACCTTCTCGCGCTTGGCCTTGCGGATGAGGACGGCCGAGCTGGGGTCCAGGCGGCTCTGCTTCCTGAGGGGCTCCTGGGCTTTGAGCTCCGGGGCTTCTGCGGGGCCCGGCCCATGCCTAGGCGCCGGCGGGGTGTGGTTCGTAAGCGCCTTGGCGCCCGGCGCCCTGGTCTCCGCAGTCCTCTCGGCCGCGTAGGCCCGCGGCGAGTCCGGCGGCGAGGCCCTGGTGACCGCCGGCGCGCGCTTGCCGGCCTTGCTCTCGGGCGGCGCGGTGCCCGCCTCGGTGCGCGGCAGCGCCACGTCGCTGTGGCGCCGCTCGTGCCTCGCGCGGGACACCCGGGCGTGCATGCGCATCTGCTGCTCGTCGGGCGGCGGTTTCACCGGGTACCGCGCCAGGTTCGGGTCGCTGCGATACCTGGTCTGGTATTCCTCCTCTTTCCTTTGCTTCTCCTCCTCCGCCGCGGCCTTGGCCTCCTCTCTTTTATCTGGCATGTCGGGGTAGTCCTGTGACCGCCCTTTCTCCAGCCTTCGACTTTCCCGCCTCTCTTTCCGCTCCCGCTCCTCCGCGGCCACCTCCCCGGGCTGCGCAAGGGTCTTTGGCACACGTTTCCGTTCGCTCTTCAGGGCCCCTTTGCCATTTTGTTCAGAGAGCCCTGGAGCCTTCTTCCTGTGGTAGACAAAGGAACGTAAGGAGAGCGGCTGTAAAACTTCAGGGAAAGGCCAGAGACCTCAGAAACTCTTTTCTTTGTATATCCAATCTTACTTCAAATGATTATAATCCGATGTCTCATTAAACATTGAGATGATAAAGAACCGCATTAAACCTGCATATCTGATTAGCTGTTGAAAATGGCGCTTTTGCATGGCGATATACATTCGGGGCCTTCAAAACTTGTTTTCCTATTTTAAGTTCTCTAATCAGATCAGTAAAAGCCATCAAAAATTCCATAAATAAACACGTTTTATTCTAACCTCTGCTTATGACTTAAAGCGTTATAGATGAAAATATAAGTAATATACGAGCAGAAGATGACATAGTGATGGGAATTTGGCACTTGGGACACTTCCATCCAGTTTAGCTCTGACCCTGATTCCAGCTTCCTGCTAAGTACTGAAGTGCTTGAGTTCCCGACCCCGACATGGAAGAGCTGGATTGTGTTCCCAGCGCCTAACTCCAGCCTGACCCAGTCCCAGCCCATTACGTGTATTTGGGGAGTGAACCAGGTAATAAGAGAGAGTGTCTCTCAATTATTTAGTCAAAACTAAATAGACACTTGATATAAATGTGGCTAATACATGTTGACAATCTCTTGTAAGATTTTTTTAAATGAGTGTGATGCGAGTGTGTCCGTTTCCAAAATCAAATCTCACGGCACTTCTTCAGCAGTAGAATGAAAGTAATTTCAACTGCATTCTATGTATGTATCCAAACACTTTTAGGGAGTTTTTTAGGAAAAAAAGAAATGGCTAACCATAGCTTTCATTTTACCTTGCTCATGAAAAAATGACAGAAATCCTGAAATTGTTACTCCTTCCCTGCCACCCACCTTTTCTGTTCCTCTCCATGATTTCGGGATACCAACCAAAAGAAGTGTTTTGAGTTCAACTTTTTCCCTACAAGCTGGTGAAAGCACTAGCAGAGATAAAAGAGAAGGGGATGTGTTTGACAACCCTTGAACATCCGTAGATGTATCATTTAGTTGTCCCTTTTTATCCTTCTCTGGCACCTAGTTTTAGAAATTTCCAGCAGTCACACCATAAGTTACAAGAAGGAGGTGCCTTGGCTAAGCAGTCTCACCCTATAGATCGAATGTGCAATTAAAATGGAGACAACCCAGACTCATTTGGACATTCTAAGGACCTAAGAAAGTACACCATAGAGGTAAGATCATTGGAATGGAAGTCTAAGACATGAACAATAACAACAAAAATATAACATGGGAAAAGGTCTGTTAATATTGTGGGTTACCAAAGAAGGCACTGCTAAGATACAAAATGGGTTGAGTTTGAAGAGAAGCTTGTGATGCAAGAGAGAAATGGCATAGGAAGAAAAAAAAAAAAAACAAGGGGCTGAGTCTGAGGCATTTCGATTACTTTGATCATTTCATATGAAAGGGATTTGGATCTGAATGTGGAACTGCAAGAGTGGCCTTGCAACTGTGCTGTAAGGGGTCTAATATGAATACATACTTAATCATTATCAACTATCACTTGCATAAGAGTGCAATGGCTGTATTACAAACTTTCAGCAGATAATTCTGGCACAGTTGCACTCATTTGAAGTTTTTATTGAATCCATTTACTTTTCCTAAGATGCTGATAAATAACGCTTACCTTGCAGATTCATGGGAGGACTGAAAGGAGACATCACCTGCGAAGATGTTTTAGGAAAGAGTAGAGTACTCTGTGGATGGAGAGAGTTTTGTGGTCTCTAGTTCTTGCTCCACACTTTTGCTTACCTCTACCGTTAGGTGGTCCTAAATATAAACTGTGATCAAGCACTATTCAATAATTTCAAATTATCATTCCTTCCATCTGGCTTCTCTTTGAGGTAGCCTAGTCCCATCTCTCTTTTCTCCTGCTCCCACACTGCCACTTCCTCATTACTGTCTCAGGTAGTTATATCATCAGTAAAGGTATTCATCCCCATCAGTCTCCTTCAGATTTCATCTATGAAAGTCAAAGCAAAAAGTCTATATTCAGATCTCATCTTTGAATATTTGTAGCTGTTACCATATGTCAAAAAGAGAACTCTTTTTCCTTTAGAAACTTTACATTTCCAAATCCTCTGTCTTATTTAAAGATACCATCTTCTAACCAATGTCAAACTGCACCTCCAGTATTTCTGGCTCTTCCTCACCCACGACAGTTTGTCACAGATCCTATTAATTCTACCTTCACTGAGGTATCTCTGGTGTCCTTTCTATTTTCTCTCCAAATATTTTAGGTACACTCGTTCTCCTGCACTGTCCTCCTGTACTCTCTCTACTCCCTCTGTATATCATAGAAAGATTTCAAAGTCTTTTCTTTTATCATGGGGCTCCCAAAGTACTACTTATATACTATTTACTGGCCTTGAACAAATTAGCATCCTGGCTATTTGCCTAAGCGTCTGTGTTTTATAGGATATCGTGTGAGCTCTTCCATAGGGTCTGTGAGAGGAAGGATCATGTCCTAATGACCCTTATACCTTCTGGTTCCTGGCACAGTGTTTACCTGCAGTAAATATAGATGGTCCCCAACTTAATGATGGTTTGAGTTACTGCTTTTTTTTTTAAATTATGATGCTGCAAAAAGGATAAGTGTTCAGTATATTTGTAATCTGAATTTTGTGTTTTGAGCTTTTCCAGGCCTAGTGATGTGTGGTAGGAGAATCTCTTAGAATACTAGACAGTGGCAGCCAGCTGCAGCTCCCATTTTACTACATAATCAGAATACATAACCACAACTTTACAGTATACTGTTTTGCTAAGCTATGATGTTCAGTTGGTTAGGTGTATTAAATGCATTTTCAATTTACAGTATTTTCAGATTTCCACAGTGTACTGGGTCACAATGACATCTTAGGTTGAGGAGCGTCTCTATACATCAGCAGCTGGCTTGACTAACAGCTGTATTCAATGTATGCCTATCATGTGCCACATGCTCTATTTAGTACCTGCTACAACTCATTAAGGTGAGTTGTTACTGCCTGTTTTGGCAGAGCTAAGGTTAGAATCCAGATCTTCTGATTAGACAGTACTTAATCTTGTAGTATGGGCTTTATTTGTGAATGAAATCAAAAGCCTTACTTGTTCCACCCAGTGGGACAAATGAGAGTTTCACAGACCAAAGCAATCAATCCTAGTTCAGGTCCAAACAGCAGTCAGTTCCCCAAAATGATGAAAGCAAGAACTATATTCTCTTCAATGATTCAAGGAGAAATAGAATTAAAATACAAGTTTATTTTAGTGCCAAAGTCTTTGAAACCCATGCATAGATTTTTTTTCATGCTGTGCATTCTCCATGAAAATTTTGAAGACCCTCATATGTCCTGCTGTGTAGCATCATGTTGGGCCACAAATACATTTTTAAATTGATCAACTGAAGTAAATTATCTGTTCAAATCTTTTTAAAATCTTCATTGGCTTTCCATTATGCCTAGGATAAAACCAAGGTTAACCTGTCCCTTTACCAGTCATCCTCTCCTCCAATATCCCTCTACTTCTTGCACTGTAGCGAATGGCTATTCTTTAGTTCATCCCACTGGAGTTGTTCTGTCAGGCCACATGCCTGTGAAGATACCTGGAGCACTATCCAGTCCTTCCCCTGGTTAATAATTAGTCAATTTTCAGAGCTCAGCATACAATAAATGTCCTCAAAGAAGGCTTATCTGATGTAAGCGAAACTTTCCAACACTTTTAATGAAAGGACTAATTCTATAAATGGAAAGTGACCTAAGCTTCTCTGACTTCAAGATTGGAAGTCAGTAACTGTCAGGTGCCTTAGCTTATGTAAGCATCTGTGTGTGGCATGAAGGAAAAGCTTTTCGACAAAGTTTCCTAAGGAAGGATGCATCCTAGAGTGATAGACAAAGTACACCAGGCCTCTTGTTGCCTTTCATGTAGGGTCTGGGAAGTAATAATTCCAAATAATCTTCCTAATGGAAGTTGAAACTCTTGAAAGTGGGTTTTATCTAAAAGTACGATCTTTTGCTTACAGGGTGAATGAACTTTACCTCTCTCTGGGAGGTTCACTTCTAGACCTGGATGAAGCCTGCTTCTGCTCGGGCCCCGTGGCTTGCTGTGCGGGTTCGGTCCCTTTGCTCCTGTCTGGTGGTGCACCTGAAGGAACAGCATCCTGGGCAGAGGCAGCTGCGGTGCTCAAGGGAGTCTGAGACCGTGAGCGTTCTTGGAGTCGGGCTTTCTTTTCTCTTGGGACCTCAGAGCCAGCACCTGTAGCCGTATCACTCAGGGTTCCATCCTGACTTGGCTGCTGAGGGCCACTTCCAAAGAACCACGCACCAGATTTGGTTAAGATTTCTTGTTGCTTTCGACATAAATTGCATACCCACATAACCTATTTGAAGAAGAGAGAAAATATAAATTCTCTATGCTACTTGGAAATAATTTCTTTGTAATATCTTTTAAGGAAAAACAGCAGTCCTTATTTTCTTATTTATCCTTGTACATTTCTTGTAAAAATTAGTTTTGCACACATCAAGCACAATATATGAATGCTTGGACTAGGACCTACGCAAACCAGCATGTTTCTGGGCAACCAGAGTGCTTTTTTCCCTCAACACTTCTAACTTGATGGTTCTGAGTTTCCTTGTACCATGTATCTGTCATATTTTGTATGATTCACTCTGAAGCTTCATTTATAATTTCTGTCAGTGAATGTGTTCCAAGTGGCTAGTTGCTAAGAAAAATGTTATAATTTATGTGCAATATTTATGTACATAAACTTCAATATCTCAAAAGACTTGGACAATATCTTCTCAAAAATCTTTCAGTATTAAAAGTTATTTATATGAAATAAACAAAAGGTAGAGTAGAGAAAAAGTCAAGCGGTACATTTCCTCTAGTTTCTTAGCAATAAACTAAACTTAAGCTTTTTTTACAAAAATAATTACAAAATACCAGTTTCCCATCAAGGTGACTAATGCCAAAAACCTGAGGCCGAGTTTATTCATATGTGACCACCTCAATGTAATGTTTTCTTAGGAAAACTATTTTACGACCACTCTTTAGAAACATATCCACTGATAAATTATGATGCATAATCATTTGAAATAAACCTATCTGCTGTCATCTTGATGACAATCAAAATGATATAATAATGAAGGCAGTTGCAGGGCAATGAGAGGTGCCAGCAGCCCCAAGAGCCGCCTTCTCAAACAGCCTCGGCACCTCTGCTTTTTTTGTGCTATGATTTCACCTTACTCTTCCTGCCTCTCTTGCTTTCCTTTAAAATTCTTTAAAAAATTTTTTTTGATCTTTGGACTCCATAAATAGTACCCCAAGGAAAAACTCCAGGCCCTTACAAATACTGACTCAGTCAACCATTACTCAAAAATGTTGCCTAAGGATGAAGAAATCCTACATACAATACGTGAGAAACAAAGTAAGATAGTAAAAGTGCTGTTGGCCAAAAGAAGAAATATACTATGAACGCATTCAGTTACATAGGGAGAAACATCTGCATTAAGTTTTACAGTTGCTATCACATAATTTCCATTTACTAAGATGTTAAACTAAGTGATTCGTTGCATAAGCATATATCAAAATACAAAGGTTTTGGAATGCAGCTTCTATTTAAATACTTGGAACATAGGACTATATTTTGCATAAGGTGCCATCATCTCTTTTATTTTGAGGTCCTTTGAAGTCCTGATGGTTTGACCATGGACATAGTAAGGATAACATTACAAGGAGTAGAAGTCTGAGGCCCAGAATTCCATGAGCAGTGAGACTGAATCTTGAATGTCCAGATTAGATGGGGGCAGGGAATGTATTTTCTTTTGGTTTGCCTCTGTCGCTGACAGGACAACAATAAGATCTGAAATCATATAGTTCAAGAAGATTGTTATGACATTTTTGCTGTTTTGTGCCAACTGCATAAATATTCAATTTACATTTCTTAACAAATAATTATGAAAAGTAGGTCCTTTTCTATTAAAATAATAAATATTTAGGATAAATATGAATTTCCTTTAAAACTGTACAGAAAATACAATCTAAAATTTTATTGCAAAGTTTTCAAAGTGGAGTGAAACTAAAGAAGGGCAGAAAAGAATATTATCTTTATTTGCTCCAAATATTATTTAGAACATTGTTACCACAATCTTGTTTTGACTGGTTTATATTTTTAAATATTATGGAATGTGTCAATGAAAAGTATTTGCCATATTTGGGCAAGTTCCAAATTTTAAATATATGCAAAATTGCTGCTGGGTCAATAAAAGCAAACAAAATATTATTAACTAAAGAAAATTTTATAATTCATTTCATCTCATTTCAAATGTACTCTAATGATGATAATTAATGAATAAATAAAAATTGCATAGGTATTATAAATAATGGTCTTAAAATACTGTATATTCAATGTTAGTCTGAGATATCTCCTTTATTTTTTCTTGTTTTTAATATTTATGAAAATACTGTTCAATAGCAAATTTTAGTATGTATTTCTTGTGTAAAACAGCCTTTTAATTAATATCTTAAAATTAATTACACGTGTGGTTAACCTTTCCTCTAGCTTTAAAATTATAAAAACGTTAAAATATTTACTTTTATTAAAATACTACCTCCTTATTTTAATTATAATTATTCATATTGAAAATTTGACAATAAAAGTAAATGCTTTATATATGTTAAATAAATTGATTATAATAGGGCATTTTCATGGTTTTCAATACAATTCCTACCACACAGTTCATATGGCAGGCATTTACAAAAATGAGCCAGATACCATAAAGCAACATAGTAATCTACATGTAAGGTTCTCTTTTGAACTAGTTTTAGGCATTATATTTGCCTCAGGCTATAGATAATCCAAAAGTGAGGGGAGGAGACTTTCACACATTTTTCTAAACAAGAGTGTAAGACATAACTATGTCTGTAAAAATAATGCTTTTAACACACACAGACATACCTTTTAGATATTGTTCCATGCTGGATTGTACCCTGATTAAATACTCTAGGAACTATTCCAAAGTAATCTAAAGTAGGTCTGTACAATAACTTAACAGTTCACAGATGTTAAGTATCAAATGCAAACTCAAAAGACAAATCATTGTGATGAAACTTGGCTTCTGAAACTCCACACCATGTATCAGAAAAAATAAGAATAACTAAAAACTTTACTCTGACCTTAACAGCACTTTTTAAATTTAAGGCAAACAAATTTCATGTATTTCAAATACACAGATAACAGCATTTTAAAATAATTCTTTTTCACTTACTGAATACTTCAGAAATACAAGAGACAATTATGAGATCCACAGAATTTTTTTTTTTTTTTTTTGACAGGCAGAGTGGACAGTGAGAGAGACAGAGAGAGAGAGAGACAGAAAGGTCTTCCTTTTCCATTGGTTCATCCCCCCCAGTGGCCGCTGCGGCCAGCGCACCACGCTGATCTGAAGCCGGGAGTCAGGTGCTTCTTCTGGTCTCCCATGCAGGTGCAGGGCCCAAGCACTTGGGCCATCCTCCACTGCACTCCCTGGCCACAGAAGAGAGCTGGCCTGGAAGAGGAGCAACGGGACAGAATCCGGCGCCCCGACCGGGATTAGAACCAGGGGTGCGAGCGCCGCAGGTGGAGGATTAGCCTACTGAGCCACGGCGCTGGCCATCCACAAGAATTTTTTTAACCAGAGAAATAAAAATTGCAATGCTCCCTACTGTATATACAGAGAGACTAACATGGATAAAGTCATAGCTTTAGCAGAAAAAAAAAAAATGAAAGAAGTACTCTACACTTGCCTTCACGTGAAATGTTTGGAGACTCAGATACACAGCAGAAAAGAAATATGCCATAGATTTACTATTGATTACACTACTAAGGTTATTTCTTCATGGTGAAATCCAGAATTCTCATATTAACACAAATGTCTTGCTTACAAAAATATATCTGAGATGCCTGCATTACTGCATTAAGAATAAACACATATGCAAAAAGTCTCCCCCAAAATACAAAATGATATTGTGAAGTTTCTTTTTATGAATACATTTTAAGATTGACTTTCATTTCATTAGTACTTTTTAATAATATTACACTACCATTTTAAAAGCACATGAAAAGCAGAAGACTGGACTTAACCTTACAGTTGCTGCATTTTCTGAAATTTTACTCATTTTCCCTACTTCCTCTATTCAGTGCAATATTCACTGTAGCATAAACTGGGGAGAAATTATTGCAGTAACATTTTAGTGATATTCATAAATGAAATAAGACAGTAGAAAGTAGTAGATGACTGAGTGGATGAGAAATAGCACATTCCTTTCAGTTCTTGTTATAGTGTGTTTTGATTTTTGTTGTCCTTGTTTCTATCTCCTAAGTTTATTATTTCTCTTTGGAAGTTTATAAAATACATTGTGTGGGTTTCTGCAATATAGAATGACATAGAATTTTTCTCTTTAATGAGTAGTTCACTCCCATTGTTCTGCTATTACATTTTGGTTTCATTGTCTAGGCAAATTTAAAAAACTGAATTTCCACTGGGGATTTGTGGTTATTTACCAGTTTAATATTACAGCATATTTTCTTGTGATCCTTAAGTATTATGCACCTTTTTCTTAAAAAAAATTATATTTAAAGTATATAAATTTTATGTATTTCCTATGTACAGATTCAGGAACATAATGATTACAACATTTCAGTATCTACAAATATTCCATAGAAATGGTATTTAATTTGCCTAACCATTAAACTTCTTACATTCTTTCACATTAACAGAATTCTACAGAAAAAAATAATCAAACCATTTTCATGTTTAAGGTCATTTCTTAGAGAATATGTTGGCAAAAAGATCAAATAATTGGGTAGGACGTTAGTGCTGTGGCATTGTGGTTAAAGCCCTAGTCTGAGGCACTGGTATCCCATTTGGACGCTGGTTCAAGCCCCAGCTGCTCCTCTTCCAATCCAGCTCTCTGCTATGGCCTGGGAAAGCAGTAGAAGATTACCTAAGTTTGGGCCCCTGCATCCACATAGGAGACCCAGGAGAAGCTCCTGGCTCCTGGCTTCAGATCGGCCTAGCTCTGCCCGTTGCAGCCATTTGGAATGGAAGACCTTTTTCTCTGTCTCTCCCTCTCACTGTTTGGAACTCTACCTCTCAAATAAATAAGTAAAATTAAAAATATATTGGGTAAAATTAGAACACATTTAAATATTTTTTCACTATAATCATTGTAATAAGAGTTGGGGCTTTTAGTGTATATTTTGCAAAATTGCTTCCCAAAAAGTTTGTGCTAAATTATAAACCAAACCTGATAATTAGGCTCTGCATTTTAAAGTCTTATGACATGATGATGTTCCCAACCCGTTTTCTCATAAATGTCTCTATTTTTTTTTTAAAGTATTTTATTTAGTTGAAAGAGATAGAGTGAGATATAGAGAGGGAAGAACAGAGAGAGACAGAGAGACAGAGACAGAGTGAGATATTTCCATTCACTGGTTCACTCCTCAAATGCCTGCAACAGCCAAGGCCAGGCCAAGCCAGGCCAGGCTGAAGCTGGATTCTGGAAACTAAATCCAGGCCTCCCACAAGGATGTCAGAAACACAACCTCTTGAACCACCAGCTGCTTCTCACCAGAGTGCGCAGTAACAGGAAGCTGGTATAGACAGAGGAGCCTGGACTGGAACACCACAAGTCCTTATAGGATACCAGGTGCCCCATGCAAGGGCTTACCCACTGCATCAATGCCCATACTGTGGGGAGCAACTCGGACTAGATTAAGTTACTGGAATTAAGACTTATTCTATGCATCTGCTCTCCCACAATATGGCGCTGGGAGAGGAGTAAACAACTTCTACACAGCTGCCTCTCACCAACTTGACAAGCTGCAGGAGCTGATCCTGCTCCTGATTGAAGGAGAGCAGCGTGCTCGGCGTGTGGGTAGCAGAGTTGGGATTGGTGGAAGAGGACTATAAAGAAGGAGAGAGACAACATGCACAGGGAACATCCAGATAACATCTGAGCAGCCCCCGAGAGAGCTGGCCGGTGGTGTGCCACTCCCCCGCCGAAGTGGGGAAAGTGGCAGGGGGAGCTGCCCCTCCACGGAGGTGGAAGGTCGGCAGCCAACCCGGGAAGGACCAGCAGCAAACCCAGGAAGGGCCGAGCAGACAAAAGAACAGCGCAGGGTTCTGTGTTGTTCCTCCGAGAATGGGGGAGTGACACATACCTCATAAATGTTTCAAATTTAAAATAACATAGTGTGATCCCATGTAAAGAACAGCAAATAAAGCTATAGAGCCATAAGTCACACAAAAGAGGAAGGGAGATGCCAACACATTTCTAGAAGTTGTATATGGGAGAAGGTGGTAAATTAAATTAAATGGAGGAAACTGTGGCTTAAACCACAGGTTGAACCAGAGTTAATCTTCTTACCAGAACTCAGAGAAGTTCTATTTAGAAATGACAGATACTCCAGCTGGACAGAAGTGAGAAGTGAACTAACATCAACAGACTATTTGAAAGTCTTCATTAAACAGTGTTTATTTTCTACATACAGAGTGACCACTCTTCACAACATCTGAAACAGAGCTACTGTGGACCTACAAAAGCACTCCTTGTTCTGTCAGAAGACTGTCTCCATCCTGATGGCTTGCACCTCTGCACACGCACAAAAACACTCTTAAGAAACAGAAAGAAGGACTTACAATGCTGAGTCATTTGCCTGTTCTCCCCCAACTTTGTGTAGTCATGAAAGTCAAAGTACTACTACTAAGCACTTATGTTTGAGGTTAATAAACTCTTCAAACATCTTATAAGGGCATTTTAAATAGCTCATGGAAAAGGGAATTAAAATATAAATTTATTCTGGTTAAAAAAACTTTTGAAGTCCATTTATAGTCATTTCATAATACATACTTTCCACGAACTTTTTGAAGCCTCTTAAATGCCTACTGCAATGACAGCTAAGGATAAGGTTCATTGAGGTACTTCTCTTTCCTTCAACCCTCAATCCCATTTCAACTTTGTATATGGGTTATTATTTACCACAGAGCCAACTAGTGGGTTTAGATTATGCCTCAGATTCTGTGGATCCAACATGATGACCAATGTTTCACTAATGGAAAATGTTCCTAGTCTCAAATACAAATGGTTCCTCTCTTAGTGAAATTTCTTTATCCTATTCATAGTTTTGTCTTTTTCTTCTTGTATATTTGATTTTTTACTTCTAGCCCCCTCCTTCTAGAGCTCCCATTCTTCTGCTCCAAATCTCTCTCTAGGCTTCTCAGTAATCAGTTCTTTCTGGGACTTTTCTTAACTGTTTACTCTTCTACAAACAGATCATTTACTTCTTGGAATTCCTTTTTTCCTCTTTCTTGGTAGACTTTCTTTTGCTAAAGAGAATATATAAGTGGTAAGTTTTACAAGTCCTTCCAGATTCTCAAAATATCTTATACTACCTGTATATTTGATTGATGGCTGTCTATGTAGATACAGAATTGCAGGATCCACATAATTTTATATATAGGCAACGCATTGACAAAGAATTGCTCTTGTAAAAAAAGTAATGTACAAGTACAAGAATAGGAAAGAAACCATAAAATAATTTTTAAGTATGGAGGAGAATAAATATTTCAAAATTAATAGAAGACAATTCCCAGAGTACAGATCTCACTGAACTTTATTACAATGAATGGAAACTGAAACCTTGAAGATACGAAATTGGTATATAATTTCAATATACCAAAGTAAAGATCATAAGGCAGGCTCCGCGGCTCACTAGGCTAATCCTCTGCCTTGCGGCACTGGCACACTAGGTTCTAGTCCCGGTCGGGGTGCCGGATTCTGTCCCAGTTGCCCCTCTTCCAGGCCAGCTCTCTGCTGTGGCCAGGGAGTGCAGTGGAGGATGGCCCAAGTCCTTGGGCCGTGCACCCCATGGGAGACCAGGAGAAGCACCTGGCTCCTGCCATCGGATCAGCGCGGTGCGCTGGCCGCAGTGCGCCGGCCGCAGTGGCCATTGGAGGGTGAACCAACGGCAAAGGAAGACCTTTCTCTCTGTCTCTCTCTCTCTCTCTATCTACTCTGCCTGTCAAAAATAAATAAATAAATAGAAAAATAAAGATCATAAAAGCTTCTAGAGAGAAAAAATCATGCTGCTGTACATGTCTAATATTCCCATTATCCTGATTCTGGGGAGATCACGGCATGTAAGCAGCAACAATGAATACTGAATGAGGTGGCCTGTGTGGGACTGAATTCCAGTTCTCCTAACTTCTTGTTTCACTACCTAGGATAGATTATATCATTTCTCTGTGCTTTAGTATCCTCATTTATAAAATAGGGAAATAATGATTTCATAGATTATACATGAAGATTAAGTAAGATACTATATGTAACTTGTTTGATGCACAGTAATTAATAAAATGCTAATTACTCTGATTTGGTAATGACATGTTGAACAATGTACCAAATCTTCTCACTGTGCTTCATAAATATGTATAATTATTATGTCAACAAAATATTTCATGACAAAATATTTGTCTTAACAATATATGAAAGTTATTGACAGTATATATTTAAATGAAAAGTAAATATTCTTTTCCTATAATATAAAGAGCTATGTTTAGGTGCCTGCGCTGTGGCATAGCAGGTAAAGCCAACATCTGCAGCGCCAGCATCCCATTGGGCGCTGGTTCGAGTCCCGGCTGCTCTGTTTTCGATCCAGTTTTCTGCTATGGCCTGGGAAAGCATTAAAAGATGGCCCAAGTCCTTGGGGCCTTGCACCCACATGGGAGACCCAGAGGAAGATCCTGGCTCTTAGCTTCAGATCAGCTCAGCTCCATCCGTTGTGGCTATTTGGGGAGTGCCCCAGCAGATGGAATACCTCTCTCTCTCTCTCTCTCTCTCTCTCTATGACTCTGCCTCTCTGTAACGCTGCCTTTCAAATAAACAAATAAATCTTTTTTTTTTAAAAAAAAAGAGCTATGTTATACATACTTCTGATTTCAATTAATTATTTGAGACCATGTTATGTGCTGGGCATTGTTTTAAGCACTGGGGAAGCAGCAGAGAACAAAACAGACAAAAATTCTGTCCTGCAGTATGTATTCCAGTGAAAGAAGACAAAGAAAACTAAAACATAATAGTAAACATAGATAACATGCTAGATGTTGACACATACCAGAAACAAATGCAGAGGAAAAAAGGTAGAGGACGATCCACTCGGTAGGTGGTTCAATTTAAAATTGATTGGTCAAGGCAAACTTCACCAAGAAAGTGCTGAGTAAGACTATGCTAGGCAGATAATCTGAGGGAAAACCTTTTGGGCAACAACAACAACAACAACAACAAATGGAAAAGGAAAAGAACCTTGATGGGGCTTATTCCTGGCAGTTTTGAGGAACAGCTGGAACTAAGTGAAGGGTTGAATAGTATAAGATGGGGCCGGCGCCACGGCTCACTAGGCTAATCCTCCGCCTAGCGGTGCCGGCACACCGGGTTCTAGTCCCGGTCGGGGTGCCGGATTCTGTCCCGGTTGCCCCTCTTCCAGGCCAGCTCTCTGCTGTGGCCAGGGAGTGCAGTGGAGGATGGCCCAGGTGCTTGGGCCCTGCACCCCATGGGAGACCAGGATAAGTACCTGGCTCCTGCCATCGGATCAGCGCGGTGCGCCGGCCGCAGCGTGCCGGCCGCGGCAGCCATTGGAGGGTGAACCAATGGCAAAGGAAGACCTTTCTCTCTGTCTCTCTCTCTCACTGTCCACTCTGCCTGTCAAAAAAATAAAAATAAAAAATAAATAAAAAAAAGAATAGTATAAGATGGGTTTGCGAAGGAGCAGCTGAGTTGGTCTTTGGGAGCTACTGCAAACATACTGACTTTTATGAGGAGAAAAATGTGGACCCATTGAGGGTTTCAGAGCTGCTATGTGTTAGGTTTAAGTAGGATCCCTCTGGTGGTTGTTGTGAGAATAAAATGCATTTGTGAGTTACATTCCAATACTGCTAGTTTTACTCTTTTAGCTACTTTTTGCCAGATAAAGTTCTATATTCTTTTGGTTAATTTTTTATGTCATTTTTAGAGCTGTATTTCTTCTTATAGTAGAACAGGACTGAATCATATTTTTTAATCCAATCTAGAATCATTGGGTGAACATCATAGAGTGTACTTACACAAACTAAAATGGCTACAATGTAACTAAACAATAGAATCTTACAAGTTCACCATTATTTAAGTGGTCTGTCATTGACCAAAATGTTCTTAAGCAGATGACTGTATAACTATAAAAGAAAATTAAATAATCAAGGCTTTTACAAGTAAACATTATTCTCCTTGCAAACTATCTCACTTCTATTCACTTCCTTTTCTATTTAAGTTCAAGCTAGTTGTTTAAGGAATCTAAATTTATTTCATGCCCATGCTCTTATACTTCATTTATTTCTTCCTCCTTAAAATCTGACTCCCATTCTCACAATTATATTTTTCTTTCATATACATTATTGATCTATTCTATAGTGCTAATGGAACTTAAAATTAAAAAGTAAATATAACATAGAGAAAATTAATTAAACCAGAAATTAGCTCTTTGAGAGGATTAATAAAATTAATGGACATTTCACTAACCAAGAAATATAATTACCAAAAGAGATGATATCACTAAAGATTCTAGACTCATTCAAAGAAAAAATAGGGCAATGTGACTAAACAAAACCAAACCAACTTTATGAGACAGAGACTAAAGAGATAAGTAAAGTTAAACAAGTTGTAAGGATGGGGGCCTGATTGACAATTTCGGAGAATATCAGCATACTTATTAAAACAAATCACAGGGAGTTGTCCCCCTCTTATTTTACCAATAAATCTCATTACATGGCTAAAATAGATAAATTCCTCAGAAATTAAAATTACCAAAACAAACACAATCCCAAATAGTCATAACTATTAAATTAAATTAAACTTTAATATATAACTATTAAAGAAGGTGAATTCATAATTAAAATCTAATTTACAATGAACATGTCAGAACCAGAAATGTTCACTGGAAAATTCCTAAAAATATATTTAAAGAGTAAATGATAAGGGTTGGATTAGACTGTTATTATTATTATTTGTAGGGCAGAGTTACAGAGAGAAGAGGGAGGGAGGGAGGGAGAGAGAATCTTCCATTGACTGAATCACTCCCCAAATGGCCACAATGGCCACAGCTGGGCCAGGCTGAAGCCAGGAGCCAGGGGTTTTCTCTAGCCCTCCCATGTGGTTGCATGGGCCTGAGCACTTGGGCCATCTTCCATGCTTTCCCAGGTGCATTAGCAGGGAGGTGGGATGGGAGTGGAGCAGCTGGGTCTGGAACTGGTGCCCATATGGGATGCCAGCTTCCCAGGTGGAGAGTTAAGCTGTTATGCCACAGTGCTGCCCCTGAAAAGTTTTAACACGTGTAACTGGAACCAAGGTTTAACTTGTTCAATTGGCACCTATAAGGGGAGAATAAGGAATCTGAAACAGAATACAGAATATGAAGCAAAAGCAGTACATGAGGCCATAGGCTTTCCAAAATTGCTGTAAACCGAGTGACTGTGTCACCGTCAAATTTGTATATTATAATGGTTCTCTCCAACACGATAGCATTTGGAGCTGGAGCCTTGTGTGGCAACTAAGTTTAGATGGGTTCATGAGACTGAAGCCCTCATGGTCAGATGCATGGCCTTATGAGAAAAGACCAGACTGTTCTCTCCTGCAGCCATCCTGCCCACCAGATACCAAGTCAGACACCACATCTGCTCTCACGTTGATGCCTAATTCTATCAGTAAGGTGAGGAATAAATGTTGTTTAAGTCAGTCCATGATATCCTACTACAGCAGTGTGAAATAAATCACAAGTGAAAGATATTATTGATATAAATCAAATTACAGATTTAAGGACTGCTGCAAACCATGAACAGAACATAGTAAAAAAAAAGACAAGGGCTACGTACATCATAATAAAACTACAGAAAATCAAAGAAAAAGCTTTCAAAAAAAAAAAAAGAGAAAAAGACACATTGTTTCCAAAGGTCTAATGTAATATTGATAACTGACCTCATAATAGAAGTTAGACAAGAACACAATGCAGTTATATGTTTGTGATGAAGCAAAATAAATGCTTAATGAAGTCTTAAAGACTGCAAATATTGGTTTTTTTAAAAATAGATTTTTTTATTCAAACCAGAAGTGAATGTGTTATAAGCAGACTCATAGGAAGGTAACACTAATAAAAACTTTTAGTGCAAGAAAAATGAGGACAAATGCAAACAAAGATACTGGAAAAATAGAGAGTAACAGTTGGTAAAACTAAATATGCTTAAGAGAAATAGGGCAACTTCAGAAAGACAAATACCATGTGATCTCATTCATATGCAGAATCTAGAAGAGTTGATCTTACAGAAGTGGAGAGTATAAGGGTGGTTACCAGAGGCTGGGGAGGGAAAGGGGGAAGGAAGAGACAGGAAAAGGTTGATTCATGGGCACTAAGAACTGCTGCTCCTGTATGGCACAGTAGGGTGACAAGGGCTATGATAAGGTGCTGTGTATTTCTCTAAAAGAAGTAAGAATAATTTTTGATGTTTTTCAACAGAAAGAAATATTAAATGTTTGAGGAGACAGATCCATTACTCTAATTGGAAAACACACAATGAATACATGTATCAAAGCATCATATAGTATCTCATAAATATGTACAGCTTTATGTCAGTTACATTTTTTAAATTAAAAAAAATGAATATTGTTTAGTAGAGGGTTAAGCCTATGATTATAAAAAAATTGAAATAAGTCATTGTGAAATTTAAAAGTAAGAAAAGAAGGAGGGCGCAGGGTGGAGTTGTGGGAGGGATGGAGGGAGGGTAGAGTGGAGGGTACACTATGCTCTTAAAACTGTATATATAAGAAATTTGTTTCTTTTATATAAATAAAATATTTAAAAATGAATATTGCTAGTAGGTAAGAATAATTAAATATTTATCCCAGAGAATAAATCATAAGAATAACAAAAAGTTTCTACAGGAAAAAGCATATTAAAATAGTATGTTTTAATATATATATAAAATAATATAAGTAGGGGCCGGTGCTGTGAAGCGCCGGCATCCCATATGGGCACTGGTATCCCTTATGGGCGCCGGTTTGAGACCCGGCTGCTCCACTTCTGATCCAGCTCTCTGCTATGGCTTGGGAAAGTAGTAGAAGATGGCCCAAGTCTTTGGGCCCCTGCACCCTTGTGGGAGACCCGGAAGAAGCTCCTGGCTCCTGGCTTCAGATCGGCACAGCTCTGGCCATTGTGGCCAGTTGGGGAGTGGACCATCGGATGGAAGACCTCTGTCTGTCTCTCTCTCTGTGTTTCTCTCTCTGCCTCTCCTCTGTGTAACTCTGACTTTCAAATAAATAAATCTTTAAAAAATAGTATAAATTTCTTATATTTTTGAAGAAGTGGTAAATATATTAACCCATACTAAGTATGAGTAATAATTTATGGATAAAAATAAAATAATAGAAAATATATTATTGACAAAATTATGGAGGACAGAATGCTTAATGTAACTAATTCAAAAATATATTAAAGGAGAAATAGATAATATAAAGTATTATGATGGGGGCTGGCACTGTGGCTTAGTGCATCCCTTATGGGCGCCAGTTCAAGTCCCGGCTGCTCTTCCTCTGATTCAGTTCTCTGTTGTGGCCTGGGAAAGCAGTAGAAGATGGCCCAGGTCCTTGGGCCCCTGCTCCCACATGGGAGACTCAGAAGAAGCTCCTGGCTCCTGGATTTGGATCGCTGTAGTTCCAGCCATGGTGGCCATCTGGGGAGTGAACTAGTGGATGGAAGACCTCTCTCTCTGCCTCTCCTCTCTCTGTGTAGCTCTGACTTTCAAATAAATAAATCTGAAAAAAAGTATTATGCTGAGCTTATATACAAATACAATGCCAATTAAATAGTATGTAAACAAATAAAATGTTCCAACTTAAAAAAAATCATCACACAAGCCGGCGCCGCAGCTCAATAGGCTAATCCTCTGCCTGAGGCACCGGCACACCAGGTTCTAGTCCTGGTTGGGGTGCCGGATTCTGTCCTGGTTGCTCCTCTTCCAGGCCAGCTCTCTGCTGTGGCCCAGGAGGGCAGTAGAGGATGGCCCAAGTGCTTGGGTCCTGCACCCCATGGGAGACCAGGAGAAGCACCTGGCTCCTGCCTTCAGATCAGTGCGGTGCGCAGGTCACAGTTCACTGGCCGTGGCAGCCATTGGAGGATGAACCAATGGCAAAGGAAGACCTTTCTCTCTGTCTCTCTCTCTCACTGTCTACTCTGCCTGTCCAAAAAAAAAAAAAAATCATCACACAAGATTTTGTAAAAGATTTAACCAAATGGTTTTCTAATTAGGAGAATTCCATGAATATAAGGATACAAAAATATGCAATGAAGAGAGAGAAAAGTAAATATCATGCCCACATTAAATAGAAGAAACTAGTACAGTTTTAGTAGACTAGACTAAAATCCTTACTAGAGACAAAAGGACAGTTTCATTATGATGACTGATTAATTCATCCCAAGGACAATACATTAAATTTTATATGATTAAACAACATAGCAAGGTATGTAAATCAGAACTTGACAAATGAAAGAAAAACAGGTGAATCACAAAAGTAGTGGGGAACATAAACACATTTTAAATTAAATGATAGAACATACAGAATAAAAATCAGCAAGAAAATGGAAGAACAGAGCAGAATTTGACCTTACCTACCATAAAAACTGAAGGACATTCATTACCTATAGAATAACAGATGTATGAATGTGTGGTTCCAAAACCCCTCTATATATTTGATGCAATCCATTTCCACACATGCAAACCAGAAAAAGTTTTCCAAGAATATAACAAAGATGGTATAAGGAGATTCTAAAATTATTGTAGGCTTGCCAGAGGCCAAAAGAACTAAGACAATGCTGAAGAAGGAAACTTTAGGAACTTACGTTGTTTTTTGAATATTATCCCTACATACAATCAGGCACATTGCTTTTTAAAACATCATTGTTATCATTAAAATTACAGCAATTTCTTTATTATTTTGGCAGGTGATTCTTACCTGTTCTAAATACAAGTCAGCACAAGATACTTGCAAAAGACATGTCTTGGGTTTTCTGGTAGCCACATATTCATATAATGTATTTCAATAAATGTTACTTAGTAAATTGTTTAGTTATATGTGAATAAAATAGCTATACATTTGGCAAAAATTTCACATTAACCAATTCACTTTCTTTCTATATTTATTGGTGTATAATTGACAAATAAAAAGTTTATGCCATATGAAACGGTGAATCCATGGAAGTTAAAAGTATCAATGCCTGTTACCAAAGGCTGGGTAATGAAGATGGTATGGAAGCATGGGGAAAGGCTAGCTAACTGATACTAAGTTACAGTTAAAGGGAGTAAGAAGTTCAGTGGTTAGACTTCACAGTAGGGTGAATAGAGAGAATATTCATGTACTGCATATCTATTTGAAAAAAATCTATAAGATAGGATGTTGAATGTTTTTACCACAAAGAAATGTTAAATGTTTGAGGAGACAGATATGTGTTCCCTCATTAGAAATTACACAATATAAGCTTCTATTGTATTGCATGATTTGCATAAATATGTATAATTTATGTGCATGCTAGAAAATGTTTAAAAACTGTAAAAATTTTAATATATATCTAAGGCACACAAGCCAGTCTTTTGGTATATTTATACACTATGTAGTGATTACCAAAACCAAGTGAATTAACAGGTACATAAGATCACAGTTACCTTTTCTGTGTGTGTGTGTGTGAGAGAGAGAGAGAGAGAGAGAGAGAAAGAGACAGAGAGAGAGAGAGAGATAAGATCTACTCTCTTCACACATATATTATTATTAGTATTATTTTTATTTGACAGTGAGAGAGAGAGAGAGAGAGAGAGAGAGAGAAAGGTCTTCCTTCCATTGGTTCACTCCCCAAATGGATGACATGGCCGGCGCTGAGCCGATCCAAAGCCAGGAGCCAGGTGCTTCCTCCTGGTCTCCCACATGGGTGCAGGGGCCCAAGCACTTGGGCCATCCTCCACTGCCTTCCCGGGCCACAGCAGAGAGCTGGACTGGAAGAGGAGCAACCGGGACTAGAACACAGCACCACATGGGATGCCGGCGCCGCAGGTGGAAGATTAACCAAGTGAGCCACGGCGCCGGCCCCATACAAATATATCATTTTTAACTACAGTCATCATACTATTCATGAGGTCTCCAGAACTTCCTCATCTTATGAGGGAGTTTGTGCCCTTTAACTGACATCTCCCCATTTCTCTCACCCCAGCCTCTGCACGGCAACCACTCCCCTACTCTCTGAGTTCAACTTTTTTAGAATTCACATCTAAGTGAAATCATATGGTATTTGTCCTTCTGTGCCTGGCTTATTTCACTTTAATATTGTTCTTTAGGTTCATCTGTCATTTTAGTCTTCTTTGCAAAAATGTCTATTTAGGTCCTTTGACCATTTTCATAGGCGTGTTTGTACATTACTGAGTTGGCTAAATTTCATACATATCTAGGATATTAACCAATTATTGGACACATGGTTTGCAAATATTTTCTCCTATTCAATAGGTTTCTTTTCATTATTTTTATTGCTTCCTTTGCTATGCAAAAACATTTTAGTTTGAACTTTTTAAGTTTGAATCATCCTGACTTTTATGTTTTTGCTTTTGATGCCTGTGCTTTTGGTGTCATATCCAAAAAAATCATTATCACAACCAATGTCCCAGTGGTTTTCCCTATTATATATTCTTCAGGGGTTTTATGGTTTTAGGTATTTAAGTTTTTAATACCTTTCTTTCAAAAAATAGAGAGAAAACAGATTTCAGGTTCTGTTATAAGAAGATAACCACACTTCCGCCCTACTCCTTTTCCCTCCACCAATACTCTTCCTTCCTTTTAATTTTTGTGAAGACATAATTTTCAATTTTTTGTGCATGGTAAAAAAGATCAAACTTATTACTTCCTTTCCCTCATTGCACTCATTCTCTCTCTCTCTCTCTCCCCCTTCCTCCATATGGATAATTCATGTTTTCTAACAGCGTTTCTTGAAGACACTATCCTTTACCCATTGACATCTTTGTTAAAGATGTCCAAATCAACTGACTATAAATCTATAAGCCTCTTTCTGAAAGCTCTATTCAGTTCCATTGTGCTTTATGTCTTTTTTTTTTTTAATTCCAGTACCATACTGTCTTGATGACAATATTTTTTTTTATGTTAGAGGTAAAGTTACAGAAAGAGTTAGAGACACAGAAAGATCTTCCATTCACTGGCTCACTCCCCAGATGGCCACAATATTCAGAGCTGGTTTGATCCAAAGCCAGGAGCCAGGAGCTTCTTCTGGGTCTACCACTTGGGTGCAGGGGCCCAAACACTTGGGCAATCTTCCACTGCTTTCTCAGGCCATAAGCAGAGAGCTGGATTCGAAGAGGAGCAGACAGGATACTAACTGATACTCATAAGGGATGCCAGCACAGCAGGCTGAGGATTAGCCTGCTATGCCAGGGTGTTGGCCTCAGTGACAATACTTTTATGATATAATTTTAATAAAGAAGTGTGATACATTCAGCTTTGTTCTTCTTGCCCAAGATTGCTTCGACTATCCACGTTTTCATGGTTCCACACCTTCTTGCTAGCCTGAAAAGCCTGACCATGTTATGAGATCTGCAGTGGTTTTCCCTAGAGAAATGCCCTGAAACACTCATTTTTCTGTGCATTTATTCCAAGCTCACAGAGTTAAGTCAACTCTCCATTCAAGACACTTGTACTTGCTGTCTGTAGGGCACACAGGAAATATCCATTTGGAGTACTCGTGGGTTAGCTGGTTGGGGGTCCACAGGAGAGGTGTCCCAAGTGGTGGGTGGACAGTTTCT